CCCCAAAACCCCAAAACCCCAAAACCCCTGAGCCATGCATCAGAAATGATTTAAGAAGAAGGAATCATTAAATATAATTAATAAACATACATGGATCCTTTATCAAATCGTCAAATTTGCATCTACCCTCTAGATGGTAGACCAATAGAAGACCTGTATGCACTAAAATGTGGTCACCATTTCTGCAAGGAATGGATCAAGCCTCATTGTGAAAACCAGATGGAGTGCAAGGTTCTTCCCTTCTGTCCTCTCTGTAAAGTTCCTATTGAAGGAAACTTTTACTCTGGCCTGATAAGTCCGGCTGCAAAGAATCCAGATAATGAGAACTCAGTCAGAATACTAAACGAAAATGAAAAACTCTTCTGTCCTGCCTGTGAGAGTGGTGAAGTAATCCTTCCAAGATTAGACTATGGTAAGCATTTTTTACTTATCCTGCTTCTGTTCCTTTTCTGATGTTGTCTAGCTGCAAATAATATCCCAAAAGTAAGTCTTCATACCTAACCCTACCAGAAAGCCACTTGTGAGTGAGGCCATTCGTTCTGAGTGCTCTGATATAAAAAGTGTTCGAATGAAGACTATCACAAGTGCCCCAAAACTAAGATTAAAGTAGAAAGAAAGAATGAGACCACTGACGAAGAGGAAAAGAAGTTCCTCACAGACCAAAACATTGTGGCGAAATGAAGAAAGGAGGGAGTCGAGTACTGTAAGTTTGTCAAGGTTATTAGACAGTGAGCTTTCTATTGAAAGTGCACAGAATGTGGGTACCAGATATGTACTTATTGCAAGAAGAAGTATACTGAAGGCCATGAGCTATATCTATTCAGAGCTTGTCATCCTCTGGAAAACGAGAGAATGACAAACATAGTCTGCTCCTTCCTTTGTGTCCCCTTAATCGTGATATTTGAAATCATCTGTGCTCCTTTCTCCTTGTGCTACTATCAATGCTCATTATGCAGAAATGACGAGAAAAGTGATTTTAATACTTAAATAGACCCTTTTTGAAGAGTTGCACTTCCATTAGAAAGAAGCATAACAGATGCTTTGTAGAATGTTTCATCACTCCTTGTCTATTCATACTTCTCCTCTTCTTAATCCCAATCTTAACATTAATTCTCCTCCTAATCTCCCCAGTCATCTGCGGATTCAAGTGCTATTACATCTATAAAATACAAAATAATACCAACCTTCAGGAGAAGTATATAACCAAAAATCAGCTCTAAAACAAGCCACAATCTCCTAACTACCCTCCGTAAACCCCCATATCTTCATGCGCAGAAAATCCCCTTTCACCTACACATGCCCCTACTAAACCACTCTCTCCATAACCTAAAAGTCCCTTTCAAGTAAATCCCCCAATCCCGGGGTTTTGGGGTTTTGGGGTTTTGGGG